GCCCACATATAAATGCTTGTTTTAAAAAAAAGTTTTTTTTAATGTTGCATGGGGTACACCTACAACAGGAGTAGAAGAAAGTAAAATAAGTGTCATTTTGGCTTTTTATACGCATTCAAGTATTCCCTGTAATAGTTAAGCCACTTGCACTTGGGCCGGTCTTTGGATGGGTGACCATAATTTATAATCTCACGCTTCTCCATGCTTCTGAAAGTACGTTAACCCGTTAATCCTGTCTGCATTATAGTCGTTAATATCCACCATCTGCGTTGGTCATATGGTGGGCTATGATCCAAGTACTCACAAAAGATATATTTAATGATTAAAACGAAAATTTTTCTTCTGTTAAATATACTAATACTGTGGACAGAAAAAATCGTTTGTTCGATTTCATTGAATAAGCTCCAAAATTACTGGACGAATATTAAAAAAAAATCATTTATCCACAGGAAGCTAGCAAAATAGGCTATAATTTACGCATCGGAAGTCGGTAAAACAGCTTTTAAAATATAAACGAATTAGATTTATACTTCACTCATATTCCTACATCTGTACATTAATGTTACTACTTTATTTAATAGTCGAACAAACTTTAGGCAAACAAACCACTAGTTTCCTTCCCGTTTCCCGAATCGTACAAAGGCTCCACTAGTTTTACTAGTTGCCGACAAACTAACCAACAATAGTTCCTTACGTTCTGATGCGCTGAAAACTACGCTCTGCTGTATTTATATTTGACAGGCTTTGAAACTTTTGTTCTGTGTATATTGTAATCTCATTTACTGTTTATGTTTTATATATATTACATTCATATATTGGTATTAATCTTAATCGGTTCTCGGTTGCGCACTGGTTATGCGCCGTGACCCGCAATCGTTGCTGTTATGCAACTTTCGCAAGGGTCGGTCACGAGATGGGTAACAAAAAAAAATTATTACAAGCTACTCCGTATTACCAAAGGCACGTTAAGCCTTTGGACCCGACGGCATTAGCAGTCGTTAATACCTTCTGATCCGCATTGGGCCAGCGTGGACGGTCATGGTCCGTCCTCCTTAAGCATCCATAAGGAAGGCCTGAGCCTCTGCAGTGGGAACGTAAAAGGGCTGACGATGATGATTGATCTTAATCGATAGTTTTTCAGAAGTAAAAGAAATATTTTCACAATTACTAATTTAGTATTTGTAAAAACAGGACATCATATGTCGAAAATATACGAATTTTCGTTTTCGGAGAAATAAAATAGGCTTTCAAGTGTCATGTTGATTCGTACAAGTGGTAAAGAAAAAATTATTGCTTCTATCTTATATCACAATTTTTATTATATCTTTTTATAAGACAACTCACTTAACAAGTCTGTGTATTCCAACTACGAAACACTTAGAAGACAATAACACAAAATTACATCACAGACCCTAAGAAAGAACTTTAAAACTGCATAATCAACTAGATACTTTAGTTTCGTCTTTTAAAGTGGATGTAGATGCTGCATTAAAAATACAACTTAAAATACAACTTCGTGAAAGGTAAGACGGAGAAAGTACTGTTAGTGATGTCAAAGTGTCGATAGTAATATTGTTGTTCTAACGATAAATCGATAGGTTATTATTTATTTGATAGATAAATTGAGAGTTTAAATAAATAATGAAGAAATATAAATGCTGACTAGCACCAAAAGTAACACCAATCTGCACGGAGTCGCAGTAATTGTCTGATTTCAAAGTCTAACGTAATCTGTTTATAAGGTATAATATCGTTTAAATTACTAAAATCTCTTTCTGAAATATTGTGATTTGAATGATCAAGAAATACAAAATATTGCGATCGTAATCTCTTGTACATGATAAATAGTTGTAGCGTGAGATTCGTGAATATTAAAAAAAAACAAATCAAATTGAAAGGGATTGTGATATAGTTAAAATAATACATTTAGTATTAGCTCCCTATTTCTCCTTATTCCATTTAACTCATGTGAAGGGGTTAGCTAAGCAGTGGAATCATTACTAGACTGATGAAATCATGCATTGAAAGTACATACTTTGAATCTTTGGTCGTGGTTACCCAACAGCGAAGACAGCTTTTCTATTAGACTGGTAATGTTTTTGGTAATTTTTATATAGCACTTAATAATGAATGAAAGGCCGATGAACTAAATATAACCATTTTATATTCCCACGACTTATTGAATATTTTAAAAGAGGAAATCCATTTCGTTTAGAAATAACTACGTCAGTTATCATTAAAATTGCAGCGAATTTTCTTGCAATAGTGTTCCAATTTTAAAATACAAAAGATTTATTCTAAACTAGAATAGAACTCTATTAAAATACTGTTTTTGGTTTATTCTAATTTTTATAAAATACGATAATTTACAGTGACTAGCCAAAATATTGTTGTGCAATTATTATTATCGATATTACTTAGTCATGACACTAGAAGAGACGTTTAAAGTACTTTTTAGTACGTTAATCAAGTGAATGGCGAAAGATCCAGTCTCTGAAGACAAATAGCTAGTTCTTTTTAGATTTCCTTGCTCACATATTTTAGCAGTATTTAGCTAGATATTTTTTACACTTATTTTTGCAGAACGCTGGCATTCGTTATACTAAATCAGAGCTGAATTTTAAATAACTCTTTCATCACTTGGGTCAGGTAAACGGTTAGAGTTTTTGATTAAGGGTAAGTTTTTTTTGGAAGACTACTTTCAACCTTAACTATTACATACAAATAAATAAAATTGGAGCGTCTGTTTGAAATATTAAAATAAACGCTTTTAACTAAATGCGTATATAACCATGGCACATGTAACGGATTTTTTTTTTTTTTCTGTTTACATACTCTATCTGTCAGTGTAAGTTCTATCAAAATCGGTCCAACCGTTTCAAAGATTAACCGGAACAAACAAACAGACAACTAATATCTGAAACGATTGGACCGATTTGATAGAACTTACATTAACAGATAGTTATGTTATAAATGTTATAAACAGTGACTTAGGCTACTTTCCACGTTGAAGAAGTTGCGGGCACAGCTTATCTATACAAAAATTATAGAGAGGAAAAATTTGATTGTTTGTTTGTTCGTTTGCAAAGAATAGGCTCCGTAACTACTTGATCGATTTTAAAAATTATTTCACCTACAAGAAGCTACATCATATACGGTGAACATAGGCTATATTTTATCCGAAAAACAGCAAACAAAAAGATGACAATAGGAGTGTAAATTTATATAGTGAATTAAAACAATAACCAATAAACAGTTCCCTAGGGATCATGCGAGCGAAGCCGCCGCCGAAAGCTAGTTTTAAATAAAACTTGCATCACTTAGAATGATTATGAAAATGGTTAGATTTTTATGATTACACTACATGTTTTTTTTGGGAAACTTTTTTCTCAACCTTATTAAAAAAATATATATTTTATTGGATATTATATCAAGGATATTATATGGAGCCTCAATAACAAAGACATCTAAAATAAATGACACCAATAAAATGTTACACATGAGCGAAGCTAATTAAATGTTGTTCAAAGAATTCTTTCGTAGAATAAACGATATATTGTAACTGATATTTACTTTTATTTTCTGAGATAAAATGGCTTGAGGGATACTCTAGTTGTTTTTTTTTCTAATCTTAATCCATCATTATGGCAAACCTTTACAAAATAATGCTTTATTTATAAAAAACTATTAAAACTAATTAAAAAAAACATCAACTTGATTTACGGAAGCTTATTCGAGTGTTGTGTTGTGTAATTTATATAAAAACATACAATTTAAATTGCATCGTCACTCATATTATCGCAATACATGGTTCATACGTATCCAATTTTAATATGCATATTTATGATGCATAGTAGTGTGTTCTCCTCATGTGGTGTGTATGGAAGATCAGCGTCTATCTCGGTACTATGCTGAATGAATACCTGTTTAGGGCCACTTTGTGAGTTTATTTATTTATTTATTATTATTATTATTATATGTGAGTAACTCGGTGGCGTAGTGGATAAGTGCCGCGGTCTGCGATCGTTGTTGTTAATTCGATCGCTCTGTATTCGATCGCCGTTATGGTCCATCCTCTTTAACCATCCATAAGGAAGACCTGTGCCCTTGCAGTGGGGATGAAAAGGGCCGATGATGTTGAGTTGATAAGATTTCAACACATTCAAGAAAGAGGTCACCTGTTTTGTATTAATAAAAGGGTAGGTTTTGCTGGCAACTTTACCTGCATGTGAATAGTATTTGTAACACTCAACTACTTGGAAAAATAGTCATTTGTCCCTGAGTAAAATGTTTATATTTATATACATACTTAATTTGGTCAGATAATGGTTTAAACAAGATGCACTAAGTACAAGACACACTAAAAGCAGGTATCAAACAGAAATTTTAACAAGATGTCAGCTGTCCGGACGTTCGGTAACTATATTAAACTAGTTAGTGAGTAGCCCCGGGCTAATTCGAGACGTTCGCTTCAAAAGCATGAATTGCAGCTAAAATAATTCAAACTGATAATACACACATGTAAGTATTGCCTTAATTTATATATAACGCAAAAATACGTGTTAAGTATAAATAATAAAGAAATAAAGTGGTCAAACAGCAAAAATTAGTTACCTTCCCTATTGTAAAAAAAAGAAAAATAAAATTCAAAAATGCTTGATAATAGTTAAAAATAATGCAAATAATTTCTATTAAAATAGGCCCGTTAATATTTGTGTAGGTTAACAAAACGCTCACCCAACTTCAATGGAAGTTTGTTTTAGTGTTAAATATTTTTTAACTCCTGAACGGATTTTCATGAAGCTTGCATATTTATTTATGTTGAAAAATTATGGATCTTTCAAAAATAATGGATTCTAGTTGGAGTCTAGTTTTTCGTTTTTGAGAAATTCAAGGACTCACATACTGGTATAAATATATAACATTTCGACACATATTTAGGATAAGTAGCACATATAGATATTGCGCCATTCCATACTGGTCAAATTAATAACCTCTTCTTTTGAATTTGATTATAGAAACTAACATTTTAATTTCAGAGGTTGTAATCAAAACACATTTTTTAAACACACAAAAATTCTATTCCCTCAAACATGGATTCCTCGACGACCATTTTCTATTTTGTTCTGTGCTATTAGAATTCAACTTCACTAATAGTCAAATTGAAGCGTCTTCTCGTAATTGTATGGCTGCTGTTGCTCGTATGTAATACCATGGAAGCTAAATCGTAGATACCACTCATCGCCACGTTGGAATCTTTGAACTCGATGACGCAAGATCTGAAAGGTTCTGCTGCTAGTCCAAACGTGACAGTACTTGGTGTATTGTCATTGGGGAAGGCTTCATAAGCAATACCATTGGGAAACGTCACCATGCAGACTACAAGCCTATCTAAAAACGATTTGCCGATGCCAATACTTCTGCCGATGATATTATTGGTGAGGTAAGACACCTGCTTGTCCTCTAGTCGTATTTCTGTTATGCCATAACCTTAAAAAAATAATATCAGCTGTAATCCATTTTGAAACTTGAATACTTTAGTTTAAAGTTAATTTAAGATTCACACACCTTGCGACACTATCGCGAGAAAAAGTATACACGCAATTTTCACGTCCATTTTGCGTTACTAGCTTAGAGCAAAAGTAATTACTGTTCTAATTCAGCTTTTTATATTATTTACGATCAAGATAGCGTTGATAGCGCCGATTTTATATGCTGGTTTTGTCGAATCTATTATCTTTATCATAAAGTTGAAGTTTGAATGAGCTCTCATGGTTAATTTGCTTTTGTAACCAAAATTAGAGACGAATGGTGATTAATTGAAGTGACGTATTATCTTGATTTATTTTACTGTAATTTATTATAGTTTTCTTTGTTATCATACCGATAGTCCAATTACTTTTGTATTGGGTCATAAATAAAAGCTATTCTAGTCGCTATCATTCGATTTATGTGGTTCGGTAAAATTCTGATTGATGAAGACATATCCCAATGCATTGTGTTATCAAAGATATTGACTTTATATGTCAATGTTGGTACTAAAATATTCTCTGTACGTCTGCCTCCTTTTGTTTCATGGTCTGAAATAGTCAACCAATACTCTTATTACGTCAATACAGTGCTCTTATTTGATTGATGCTATATAGGTGCTTACAAATTAAGTAGAAATATTTTTACAGCTAGTAGACCTTTGCTTATTATTTATAGTTGTTCTTTTGGTAGATGAAATAATATTGGTAAAAAGTAGGGTAGCTCGGCATTGACTGGTCTTTGGCCAATAAAAATGTAATTTTAATTATATATTTACATATTCAATTCAGATAGATTCGTGCAAAGGATATTTGAAACAACTTGTGTTCGTAGTTGTTCATTGATATATAAGAAATTCTATAGTACTTACCCACATATGTGTGATTTAGACGACACCGTCAGTTAAACACAATTGAGTTTCTCTGTAAGAAAATATTTATTTTGTTTATTTTACAAAATTCATATGAGAAAAAGTTTTCACTTATCAAAACCTGTAAGAAAAGAAACAACATTTAATGTTATTAAACACAATGTCAGTTTCTAAATCACTATCACTTTTATCCTTTTAAGTAAACAATTTAAATGAAAGAAATTCATGGTTTTCTTTACAGATATTTTAATTTTGACATAAAAAATTACATATTTTGGTAGTACCTATCCATTACATTTATTAAATAGACCTTCAGGAGTAATTCGCTCATTCTCTTTCTTTTAATGTTACATATGTACCATTGGCGCTGACTGAACAAACAATGGTTGGTAAGACCACGTTCTCTACTTGTCGTTTTTTCTATTTATTTTAGGCCCTTTGGAGCTAAAATTTTGGAATTTATGTGCACGGTACTAACGTTTCTGACCCGTGGAACACCAAAGTGGTTCACCTAGGTTTTCTGTAGTTCAAATTAATGTACCCGTAGTTCACCTATCTAATGAAATACAAGTCATCGTAAATAGTTCAAAAACTCAATGTTAAAATTGATTAAATTAAGGATTTTTAGGGCAAAACAAGAAAGAAATCTGTTTTGGTAATGTAACAACTTAATAAGAGACAGAATACAGATTTTACTCCAGGGGTGAATATTTTACTTTTAATTAATAGATATTGTGTCAAATGCTTGGTTCACATTAAAAATCGCATAATTAACTACGTAGCTTTCCTAATGCACTCTCTATATTAATTTTCTTATTAACTAATTGCATTTGTATGTGGATAATATAGTTATTATTTTCGAGAAATATTTTTCTTTTAGTGCTTCTAATTGGTCAAAAAACAGTGACATTAAAAACTGGTATTTTGTGTTTGACATAAACTACTAAACATAGTGAGGTAGCTTCTGGTTTTCGTAGGCTGATGGAAGAATGTCTAGACAAGAACGAATAATATCATTCTTTGCCAGTGAATTGATATTCTTTGTTAAATCTATGATTCAACTGATTAGCTCCGGCAAATCTAAAAGCAATACTTCGTAGTAATTTTGGTGTTAAGCCATGAAAAGACTCGAACCAACCGATTATGTATCCTTCTAACTCGTCTTCTTAGTCTTTATAGAATACAGAGTGGCAACCTTATTAAGATATTTTAAACGTTCCTACTTTGACTTGCTTAAATAGTGTAGTTTTAGGTATCAAATATTCAGTGACAGTTTTACCAAAAGTGCTCCTTCTGCTTCTAACATCTACAGCACGACGAAGATCTTCAATGATGTACTTGGATGTGGTTTTTCTTGAATAATTTTAAGACATCTAAAATAGTCAAGCGCTAATTAGGAACGTTCCCATTTACCCTCTCGTCATCGTTCCCAATTACTCAAAGTAGTAAGTTCAAATCAAAATGGCCGCTACACAAAACGGAATATTTGTTAACCTTAAAACTATATAGAATCTATGAGCAAATACTTCATGCAGGATTGTAATGGAATAATAATGTAAGTTAATACCTACATATCGGTATATAATTGATTACTTTATACAACAAAATTACAAAATATTTTTTTCAACACACCGTGACAACGTGCGCGCATCTTCTCATTTAAATATTTCCGGGCACACTAAGCGCCGCTTTAAGCGTATATTTGACGGTTGCGGGATGGAGTAGTGTATGAGAAAGTATCTGATAAGTTACCGTTCTCAATTACCCAACTTTCCCCAAGTGTTGAGACATAGAACAAAATTTTTTCACATAGATTCCTTATTATAACTTGGTTGAAGACACAAAACTGAGTTGCAACGAAAACAAAATGTATAGACTTTAGCCATAAATAATGGTAACCACTCATTATAATTAAGTATACCATATCAATAAAACTTTATGATCTATATATTTGTTGTCTGGACGAGAAAAACACAAATACTCTCAGTCCAGTGTGATAAAAATCTTTTCGAGTCACGAAATTTTACGGCGTTCTTTATTGCCCAATACAGTGTAAACGTTCGGACAATAAAATATATAATAAACACCGGATAACACCCCATACAAATTATATCCGTTTGTTACAAAATGCGTACGACAGTGGCGATTCAGATATTTTATTTTTATTACGACAGCATCGAATATGGGCATTCGAAATCATTGAATGCTGCAAAATTTTAAAAGGAACACGTATTTTTTTTGTTATACCATTTTCATGGTTCCATTTTTCTGTGTTCTGTAGTTCCATGCCTCAAAAGTAAAAAACATAATCATTATTAATTCATAAAATACAGGAACAACTGAGTTGATATTTGTGACTCCCAAGTGGCAAATTCGGTTCTATAAAACTTTCAAGACATGGAGAACTGTAGACCTCATTTTATAAAACTTAATATACTTACTCATTGTATAAGCAATCAAAATATACGTATCCCCAAACACATAGCTCAAAAACTCAAACAAATTATTTACTCGGAGACCAAAGAACAGACTCCATCTACTCTGCCCTGTACTACTAACGGTTCCGTGGCTCCCTCACGACCTATACATAACCAAAGTGCGAAGGGTTCTGGCGATAAATATAGTATGTAAGCGGATATTAATACCGAGTTTGTTTAGTATGAAGATTTTCGTAAGTCACTGACTTCAGAGAATGTGGAGCATCCGTTTCCAAAACAATATTTCTAGCCCATCAGTTCACCTTTTGTTTTATATTTTATCTGATTGCCTTTTACATTTTAATTCACGATGAGCAACGACATAAATTTGTTCTTTATACCTGCAATCCTGCGCTAAATAGCCGAAAACTTTCAGAACTAATTTTGATTTCATTTCACTAGTCGACAACCGACTAGATTACACAATATAGATGAATTTAATATGAGCCCATTCCTCCCTTACATTAGATACGTCGCAGGGCTTAATTAAACCTTGAAATGTTAACGAAAACTTTGGGCCTTACCATGACTTCTAAAACACGATGTTATATAGTTACTATAACGCAGTACTCATGTTGGCACTTAGAATATGATGTAGGCACAAAAAAAAGTCAAATAAGCCTTAATTATGGTTAAACAGTCGATTGACCTGATTTTTAGGATTGCTTACTTATTCAGTCTGTTTGTATATGTAAGTATTAGAGGAAGAAATGTTGACAGTTGACTTCAAAAGGAAAAACTAAAAACCTTATAGAATCAATTTGTTATCCATCTACCTGTTTGTCTGACTGTCTATCTGTGACCTTTAATTTCATGAATACATGTAGACGTTAAGTTAAATTTTGAATCTTTTCTAAGTTAGTAAAATCATTTTTCGTAGTTAGCAGATATGTGTTGTGCTCATCATCAAGGAAAAAAACTAGTCTTATTAATTATCGATCTATATAACTATATTTTCATACGCAGTATCCCTTTCGGGGTAGGTAAATAAGACAGAGCGCCGCAAAGTACGGTCCTTACATACATCATTAGACTCATACACTTTTATTACAAGCATGGTTTAAAATGCGGACTTAATGCTAATAGCATTCTCTCTAATCTGCTTCTGGCGTCACCTTCTAATAGCATACGATTGATTTGGTCGTGACAACGCTCACTTCCCTACACTATTAGATGTCCAGATCATTCCTTTGACTAGTTATCGCTTTTAATTGCTCTTGTATACAGTTCACTAGACATTGAAACAATGCCGAGACAGGTAAGTCCACCGCGTAATTATTGGGGCGGATTCGTTTCGAATCGTTCTAGGTTAGGACCTAGAATATTCGAGGTATTACTAAAAAGATTTAGAATAGCTGTCCTTATCTTCTTTACCAGTGACCATTTCTTTCTTGCCGACCCGATGTACCCGATGACACACAATGTAATGCAAAACATTTTACACTTCTGTTATAACTGGAATAGTGAAGTGTCCTGTTATTCACAAATCGATATCGATAATCTGATAATATATTTATATACTAGCTTAATATAATAAAATAATTTATTTATTTACCATTTCGCAACTGCCATAAAAATAAAAATTCAAATGCCATATGTATGTAATCAATAATTTTCATTTTAAAACGGCTCAATCAATTAGACCAATTTCTATCTTGCTAAAGTATCAATGTAACTGCGATTTTTGTCAGTTTTAATCAGAAGTTGGACGCTACGGAGTCACATGTCAAGGGCAGGCGATAGTGATGACATTTTGGCCCTTGGGGGCTATATCTAGTCCTTTTTATTTTAATATTTTGCCTTTTTTATTGTAATAGTCATAGTTTTATTTATTGATACC